TTTTTTTTTTTTTTTTTTTTTTAGTGAATTCCTTTTAGGAGTAGGGGTATTGTAAGGTAAGGGTCTTATCATGTAGCCCATGTAGTCCAGGCTGGCCTCACCTTCTGCTGCATCAGCCTCCCAAATGCTGGGATTACGGGTGTGTCATCATGCTCAGCTTCAGGTTAACATTCTTTAAAAGCTCTGTTATTATCCTTTCTTTTTTTTTTGAGATAGGCTCTCACTAAACTTGTGATCCTTCTGCTGGGATTAGAGGCATGAATCACTACCACATCCATCTTCACACAGTTCTTTTTTTTGTTTTTATGTTTAACTTTGGATTTTATTATGTTTGGGGATAATTATATGTTCTTTTGTAGAGTTGGATATTATTTGTAGTGAAAAAGGTCTGTCTTAACAATAAGAATTATATATGCATTTTATTATGAAAAAGTAGTATTGTTAGTGGTGCTGTCATGTTGGCTGACAGAAGGAAGTTTTATCTATAGTGTAGATTAATTCTTCACAAAAACAAACACAGCCTCTTTTTGTGGTGCATTACAGAGGCCCTCATGTGAATGCTAGAAGTGGTCCGCTGAACTACATCTCAAATTCAGTAATTGTACTTTGTTGATAGAGGGCAAATATCATGCCAGACATAAAAATTCTTTCCAGATTCAGAGGGGAAAAGCAAAATTCACATGAAACTTTAAAATAATTAAAAATAATTATAAGAAAAAATATTTTCTCATAGGTCAGACATTAAACTCACAAATATCTCTATGCTGTTGGCCACATGTAAGAATTTCACATCTATTTATTAAATATTTAAGGAAATTTGGCCATGCTGACTTGAATGCTAAGTGTGTTTGAAAACAGACCACAATCAAGAGAAACTAAAACCAAGATTTAAAGAACTAAGATTTGAGGATTTTGTTTTTGGTTGTTTTTTTGTTTTGTTTTTTTAATTTTTAAGACTGGGTCTCACTATATAGTTGAGACTGACTTGGAACTCACTAGGTAGCCCAGGCTGGTCTCGGACTCAGAGCGATCCTCCTGCCTCAGCCTCCCAAGTGCTGAGATTACAGGCATGCACCACCACGCCCAGCTAAGATTTGAGGATTTTGAATCTGGTATTTATTTATAATTTCATATGTGGAAAAAGTTCTCTCTTAAACTCATCAGATTCTCCTTATAAGAACAAGATACAGAAGTACTTATGGACAATATACTTGTTGGAGTTTAAAAGGTAGAAGAGAATAGAAGATACTTCATTTGTTTAGTTTCCTTTTGTAATGCGTATTAATTTTTGAAGTAATCTTCTACTTATTAAAAGAATTGTCATACCCTTTGCTGAATTTTCACTGCAGGCTTAGTTAGAACAAGGAAGACTCTCTTCACTTGGAGTAAGCTTTTCTGAATTTCTACAAGTAGAAAAATCATTAATATTGCTCCCCTTCTGTCCCTTCTGTTTTTTTGTGCTTGAACTATATGGAATTCTTGGAGGGTTTAGCTTTCTTCAGCATGTAGAGCCCCTAAAGTATTTTACTTCTCACCCTAAGACAGAATGCTCCTTCTAGCTTCTGAAGCTTTGAGACCTTTTTTTTGTTTTTTTGGTGGTACAGGAAATTGAACTCAGGACCTTGCACTTACAAGGCAGGTACAGTGCCACTGAGCTAAATCCCTGCCCCGTTTATCTGTTTCCTATCCCACCTAATTTAAAAAATGAAATCATGGCACCTTTTATAAATATATAATAATAAATTTTGTTATTTTTATAAGCTGGTGTTTAGTAAATGTAGAATATACATATGTTTTGTTAGGTTTGAATATTCAAAAAATAAATAATACCATTTTAATGCCAGATTCCAAATCCCTAGGAAATGGAACTAGATTGTTTAACTTATGTATATTTGCTTAACCCCAGTAGTTGATAAAACTTTTAGTAAATTTGATAGAACCCTGTTTCATTACTGAATATATGCACCAAAATTACTTTTCAATGAAATAAATTGAAAATTAAGAGAAAACTAGAAAAGAATAAATGGAATAGTGTTCCATTTTTACAAAGTAGAAAGAATTGATTGCCTTTCTCAGATGATTTACTTTATACACTAAAGTGACACCCCTCTGGTTGTGGAAAATTTTAAGGTCATGCAGGACCAGACAAAATAATTAACTTCAGCATCTTTAAGTGCAGATAAGTAGTCTTGTTTTATCAGTACTCTGGTAGCCCCAGACCATTTTGAAACAGAACCTAAATAGCAGATAAATTTCATCCATAAATATTTGTTTGTTTCTGTAAAAGTGCATCAGGCTTTAATTTTTCACCATGTAAAATGATTTAAGGTTCAATTGTTATATTATGTTGAGCAAAAACAGGTGCCTCAGGAGTAAATGAACTCACTTATATTGATAACACTTCCTTGACTTGATTTTTTTTTTTTTTTCCCCCTGAAATTCACACTCATTTTACTTTGAGTTTCCATCTCTTTCGCTTTCCTCCACAAGGGGGCAGATAAAGGAAGAGAGAAATGAAGTTTAAATGAACCTGGTTTGGGTCTTATTATGAATTGAATGAGCAAGAGTTGCAGGACGTTTTGGGGGTGACTTTTCAGAAACAAGCAGTGTCTTCTTAAAAGAACCAAATGCCCCTCCTTACTCTTCAGAGAAAGAGTGTAGCTTTCTTAACAGGGAGGTAAGCAATCAACTTTCAAGAAATACTATCCAAAGCATTGTCACAGCCTTTAATTTTTTTCTGCTTAATAATTTCTCTAAAAACAATGAGATTTAATGAAAACACATTTGAATTTATACCTAATTTTTACAATCTGTAGTCTAATTTAGAGATTTCTATGATTGTGGCAAGCCCCAGGCCAACCTGGGCTACATAACGGGTTCAAGGCCAGCCTGAACTGCATAATGAGGTTCTGTCTCAAAACAACACAAAAAAGACTTCTTGAATAATGCAAACGTTGCTTGGATGAGGTATTTGAGTTAGGCATTTGGCAATGGAAGGGACATAGTGACTGTCTTTATCCCTAAGCAGTTTTTCCATTTCTTAAAAGCCTCATTTACTATGGCATTTGTCATTGAGTAAATTACAAAGACCTACAAATATGTAGTGGTTACTTCATTTACAACAAAAGCAATCTTTCATTTGTAGCTTGTTTGGTATTGAACACCCTGTAAATTGCTGTGCAGTCTGTGAGAATTTTAAGTGAGCATCTATAAATTTTTTTTTCTTTCTTTTAGTACCGGGGATTGAACTTGGGACCTTGTGTTTGCAAGGCAGGTGGTGGCACCAGTGAGCTAAATCCCCTGCCCTGCATGTATAAAGTTTTATGGCTGCCGATTAGTTCTTTATTTGGACTTGGTATTTGGATACTCAGATCTGGGGGATTTTTTAATTCATTCTTGTTCTTCCTGCTTTTTGTTTTGTTTTTCTAGGAGAGAGACAGAGAGACAATGCGAAAAATTGTATGCACACTTCAGGAAAAGAAAATAGTATATTTTTTTCAACACATGGTGTTACCCTGGTATGGGGGAGAGGGGTCCTAGAGTATGTCATATATCACAGAAAACCTGCTGGCTACACTGCCACCAGTTAGAGAAGAGATTGAAAATGCATGTGCTGCAATCTCAGTGACCAAGGTTATTTACCCAAGCAGCAGTTTGCCATACTAATATGTCTGGAAGCTAATGGCCACCACTTTGAGCATCTCTTGTAATTGTAGAGGCCAAAGGTAACTTGTATTAATCTCATGCTATCTCAATAAATTTAGTATTAAAGTATTTATATAAGTTTTTCTTTTCCTGAAATGTGTATACTCTTTTTTTTGGTGGACTCTATAATTTTTGTTTTGGAAAAATTTCTTCATACATGATTTGAAACCTACATTTTATATTTCTGAGTTGAGTTTTTGTAAAATTGGAGAGAAATGTTGGGACAAACCTGCAGAAATGTATTCTTTTCTATCTCTTTGTATATCTGTCTTGCAAGTCATGTTTTTTCCTTCTGTTGTCACTATTAAGAACTCTGATTATCAAACTTTTTATATCCCTACAGCATGACACATAATTACTGTGAAACTGTTATCTTACATTCCTATAAGGTTCTTTTTTTCAGCACTTAATACCTTTTATTCCTTAGCTTCATGCATGAATTATGTAGCATATGTGAAGAGGCTTAAACTGTTTCCATTACATTCTTTCTGGATGGCTCCTGTTATATTTAGGGTATACTTATACTTTAGACAAAGTAAGAATGTTATTGTTGTTGACCTTGACACCAGATAACTGGGCAGACATTATATAGCTATGTTTGAATCCTCACAAAATGTGCTGTTGAAGCCAACCGAGTCCTGGCGGGAGACTCTTCTGGACAGCAGAGTTATGGACCTTTTCTTTACAGTAAGTCATAGCCTTTATCTCTGGCAGCAACAGCTATGGAAAAAAGGGAATGTCTTTGTATTTTTCTAAAGTATAACAAGACAGACTACTTATCTCCCCTAAAGCCTTCTCATCAATATCTGCTGAAACAAATTATATCAAAAGGTTCTTGCTAATTTACAAAAAAATTATATAAAGGATTTATTATCTTAGAGTAGAACTTTTCAGACTTTTTAATGTCAAGACTCCTTTACATTAGTCTTAAAAGTGGAGGATATCAAAGAACTTTTATTTATGGGGATTATATGTAAAATATAACTGTTACTATTTATCCTATTAAAAATTTAAGCCAAGGACTCGGGGGGGTAGCATAGTGGTAGAGCCCTTGTGTAGTATGTATGAGACCCTGGATTCAGTCCCCAGCGCCAGAAACTGCAAACTGAGAATGTTAAAAAAATGATTTATTGATGATTCAATAAAATACAGCCATAGGACATTTTACATAGTAATATAAATAACATTTTAATGAATGAATAACTACTTTTGAAAACAAGTTTCATGAGAAGACTGGCGTTGTTTTACCTTTTGGTTTGTTTTTATGATTTTTACAATTTTTTTCAGATCTCACTAATGTCAGGCTTAATAGAATACAGCCAGATTCTCTTGTCTGCTTTGTATTCAATTTGTACCGCCTATCATGTGTACTCTGGAAAACTGTACTGTGTACTGCTGTGTGACAGAATAGAAAAGGCAGATGCTATCTGGGTGTTACCATGAATAGTTTTGCTTTCACAATCAGCAGAGTTGTAGGAACCTATAGGAATCCCTGGGCCATACTTTGAAAACTACTGTTTTAGAGTACTGTTATTTTGTGTGTGTGTGTGTGTGTGTGTGTGTGTGTGTGTGTGTGTGTTTTGTATGGTAGAGTACTGTTATTTTGTGTTTGTGTTTGTGTGTGTGTGTGTGTGTGTTTTGTATGGTGCTGGGGATTGAGCGCAGGGCACTTGCATGTGTTGGGCAAGTGCTATATTATTGAGTAGAATAGTGTATTTTTATAAGACTTTAAGTTAGTATTATTTAATAGCATTTAATTCAAGTACAGTTTTAAACAAGTTTTAAATTATTGGCTGAATAGAAATTTAAAAATACATTCTCACATTTGCCGGTGAGTTTCCCCATTGGAATTAATAAATACATATGTATATTTTAAGTGTCTCCATGTGTTGGATGCTAATTTGCAGTGATAGGATGAGTATAGAAGTTAGATATAATGACTTTGGCAAAAATCCAATAAGAATTCAAAGAAAAGGAAGCTATTTTGCCTTATTCCAATTGTTTCTTACCTTTTCATGTGTTTTAAAAATATTAAGCATAAGTCTTCCTACTGCCTACCTTTTTTTTTATTGAACCATTTAAAATATAACTGTTACATGACACGTTTCTAAAAATGTCTAGAACGAGTTTACTCATTTTTGGATAAACTTATAAAATGTATTTTCTGTAGAAATGCTCAGACTGAGCACTTACACTTTCTTCTTTAAATCAGAAATGATGACTAAAAGCATTCAAGATCAAAGAGATAACTAACTTTTAAAACTCTGTTGCCTGCCTCATCTGACAGGAATTGTTTTGATGCCAATCCAAGTTCAGTTCTTTGTATTATTCACCCAGCTGAAAGTAGATCCCACTCCAGCAGTTTTTGAAAAGGTGCAAAACTTTCTGGCAGTACTGGAAACAACTCTACCAAATCTGAACAGCTGTCTAGACGAACCAGACAGCTGCTCCTGTCAGCTGTGAACTACCACATGCAAATAACTTTTGAATTTGAAAGTTAACCCTTTTTTTGCTTTGTTATTTTAAAGGTTATATAGGTATAGCTGCTTTCACTTAAGCAGTTTATAAACAATTTTGTTATTTGTTAATGACAGCTTTCTGTTTAATTTAATTTTTGTTAAAGTTACTTTCACTTATATGAATTCATTACCTAATTGAAAGGTTTTTTTTTCCCAGTAGTTACCACCACTTTTACACAAGATTTGAGTACATAAAAACACAGTTTCATGGAATTGAGATTTAAATTTGTTGATTATATCTGAAATTTGCAAGAGTTTTGGTTGCAGTCTGCCCTTCAAAAGTTTACAAACTTTAGATTTTTCTTTTCTCAATAAGATCATGTAAAAAGCCACTTTGTTTCAGTTTTCTTCATACCTTAAAAACAGATTCTTCTTTGCTCATTGCCTAAATATTGGTGATCCCATCTTAGTTCTCAGTTTTACTGATACACATTTTCCTGCGGCTCTTTCACACGTAGCACTTCAAGCACCTCTTCACCGATGACTCCTAAATCTATATTCAGCACAGTCCGCTCCAGATTCCCCAAGCCTCATAATCCAAGTGCTTACTGGCTATTTCAATTTGGATGGCCACAGACATCTCACATTTAACATGTTCCAGTAGAATTTGTCATCTTACTCGCTTCTTCTTTGTACCTTGTGTTGATAAGTAGCCTTGTTATTTGCCACCTCAGTGTCCTGCTGGACTTGCTGTCTACTACCCCTCTGCCTCTCCCATATTCAGGTAGTGAATTCAGGTTTTACCTGTATAATATAGTTCATAGTGAAATACACTATGCAGGAATTTGTATTACTTTGGAAAAAAGAGCAAATATTTATATCATGTGAGAATTATTTGTCTTGACTTTTGTATGACTCATATTTCAGGGAATATAGATTGGGCTTGCACAATATAGGCAGGGTGAATCCTCAGTTCTAGACACCAGGTTTGAGCAACCAGCTGGCTCCCTGGCTGGAGAAAATTGTGAGATGGGTTTTTCTAGTACCAGACTGGTTTGTGCTAGTGCATAGAATGTATCCTTAGACATCTGCTTAAATGTTGATTAAGTTCTAGGGTGTGATAACACAAGTTTAGTTAAGGTTTTAAGAATGTGTTGTGTTCAGGACTTAACAAAGTAGATAGTATGCATATTTTGATTTACTATATAAAACTTGAAATACATTGGAATATAGTGTGAAAAATATTTGTATTCTACCAGGGATTAGCAAGCTATATCATTCTACATTGTGAATATTTCAGGCCATATATTTGATATCATCATACTCAGTCTGCCATTATAGTACAGAAGTGACCCCAGATAATTTATAAATAAGCAAGCATAGATGATGTTCCAGTGAAACTTTGTAGATGATCATTAAAACGTGAATTATGTATGATTTCCACTATCATGAAATGTATTCCTTTGATTTTTCCCCCCTATATCCTGTATATGCAAAAAAATCTTTAGTGGGAGCCAGTACTGGAAACTTAGCCCAGAGCCTTCGCATTGAGCTTTATCACCAGCACCTCCACACCCTTTAAATTGTTTTTTCTTATGGCAGGGTTTTGCTAAATCACCCAGGCTTCGCTCAAGCTTATGATCCTCCTGCCTCATCCTGCCAGAGTTCTGGGATGTCAAACATATGCCAACACACCTTGGATAGAAAAAAATACTTCTTACCTCACAACCATACAGAAACAGGCTGGGCATAGTGGTACATGCCTGAAATCCCAGCATGTAGGAGGTTGAGGTGGGAAGATTGAAGGTTTGAGGTCAGCCTGGACAGTTTAGTGAGATCCTATTGCAAAACTGGAAAAAAAAACCTGAGGATATAGTTCAATGGTAGCATGTTCCTTGGTTTGATCCTCACTACCAGAAGGAACAGCAAAGCAAAGCAAAAATAATTTTTTAAAAAAATCAAATGGAGGGCCATGGATTTAGCTCAGCGGTTCTGCCGCCTGTCTTGCAAGCACAAGGAACCGAGTTTGATGTTTGATCCCCGGTATCAAAAAATAAATAAATATAT